TATTAAAGAATTAACTGAATTGACGAATAATTAAATCCTACAGCAGTTATATCAATTATCTTCTACAAGTCATATATTTCTATATCTATGCAGCTTAATGATAACCTATTACGGTTTGTCCTAGATAGACCTGCAACTATTCTGTGAGTGGACAGACTTAGCTAGGGGCTGGATGGTCAAATACACAGTCATCAACGACGAGTCAGGCTAATTTAGTAGTGAGCTTTTATAAATTTTTGTATTATATTCACTAAATTAGGCTGTTAGTATATACCGGATAGGATATGTAACACTCTCCAATATTCCCAGATATATTATTCGCTCAGACCTCAAAAGGGGGCACTTTCCTTCTTTGTCATCACCTGTGGCATCAGATCAGTCCCTATTAACTGATTTTCAATTAAGCAGAGCATCAGATTGAGATATCCTGAACTAGGAGAGTGGGGGTCCTGGAGGTTGCTAAGGCAAAGTAAGGTTTTGGGGCGTTTGTGGGAGGCTAGACTAGAAGCCTTTCTTCATGCAATCCTTCCAGTAGTACGACTATAGATCTCAACCCCTAATCGACGGAAAGCCAGAAGTCCCATCTTCATGTAGCCTAACCTGATTAGAACTTGTTTTGGATGATTGGGTATGACTTTCACAGGATAACCGGTCAAACCTGATCAGAAGGACAATTTTTGATTTTGGTCCTTAAGTGGTATTGAACTACAGACCTTGTAATTGTAACCTGGGAGCATTACCACTGTGCTATTGATCCACAGATCTTTTTTAAAAAATTTTAAATAAGATCTTTAAAATAATTATTATATATTTTTTATTTTATTGTTAAAAAGTTTTAAATTTTAAATTCAAAATTTAAAAAAATTTTTAATATTAAAATTTTATATATTTTAATTAAAAGTTAATATAATTTATATTTTTATAATTGAAAGTTATAAATCTGACTTACATTCCTACTTTTGTCCTTACCAACTACTTTAGTGACTCATATTTAACTGGAGCTATTAGTAGTATATTTACTATTGTTACTAATTCTATTTTAGTAAATGAAAATCAATTAGCTACTCCTATTTAAAAATAGCTTTTTTTTATATCTTTTGTATATTCTTGGCATCAAATTAATTTTGATTCCTGATTTTTGAAAAAGTTGATATATTTAAAATGTTCTATTTTAAGGTATCTTCTGATATTATCTAGAATTAACTTTTTCTAAACTATAGGAATATATGAATAATTTTTGAAATATAAAATATATAAAAATAATCAAATATAAATATATATATGAAACCAATAAAAGAAATAAAATAAAATGATTTTCAAGTTTTTCAAATAAAAAAATTATATGTTTAATAAGAAGAAAGCTATTATTAAAAGAAATAAATCTAAAAAATAAAAGTTGAAAGAAATCTTAATAAATGGAATTAAATATAAAATAAAATAATTAACATGTTAGAATCATGTATAGTAATATATAGTATAATAATGATTTATGAACAATAATATTAACAATTAAAAGGATTTTTACTTAAATTGTTAATGGAATAATAAATTATTTCCAAAGTTATATTTTAAAGTTTTAAAAATATAAATAAAAACAAATGAGTTAAATAAAAATTTAATTTTAATAAAATATTTTATAATATATTTATATAATATAATAAAAATAGATAGGATTTTTTAAATAATTAAATATATTTTTTATAGAATAATTGATAAATTTAATCCAAAAATTTATTTATTAACTTATATATTATATAATATTGAGATTTTATAATTAATAATATAAAGAAAAATTTTATTAAAAATTTTATAAGCTTATATAAATAAAGTATTATTTTATTATTAATAAAATATGATTGATAATATAATAAGAAGTTTTATTACATAATTATTTTGTTAGATTTTATATATAATACATTGAAATTTATATTATATAGTTTAATAAACAAAAAATGATTAATAGTTTGAAAAAAATAATATTTTTACAATTCATATAATATCGAGTACACAAAAAGTAAATTTAATTTAAATTGTGAAAAATACAGTTAATGATTTATTGATTTGGATATTAAATTTCGTTTACTTTTTTCTCTTCATTATTATTGTTTACTTTGATTCGCGTGCTATTACATATTTGCGAATTACGTGAATACGCATCGATTTGGGCATCTTGTGACATGACCTCTTTCTAATTTCGGTTTTATCAAATTGTAAACGGGAACTTCGTGAATATTATTTTATTTTATCTTTCAAATCATCATGACAATTGATTCATTGTGATCCTCGCCATCAGTTAAATCACACAAGGCCACAAAAATATTGATCATTTATTCTCGAATACATTTTGGGACTTTGTATGCATGAGTGTTTTCCGTATCTTTATTTTTTTTTTTATTAAACGCATTCTTAAAATACAGTAGCTCTCTACCAAATCTCACATGAACATTCAGCTGAAAATCAACACCGAGAATCCATTATTAGAAGGGAAGAGCACCTTTGATTATGGATCGAAAAAGAGTAATCTTTTTTTTTAAAAGTGTTCGCAGATGCTGCGCCACCGTTTCCAGTCTTTGACAAGATTGCGGAAAAACCTATAATCGAGGAATGATCATCAAATACATGGGTATCTCATTTGTATTTTTTGTAGGAGTCGGTGGAAAGCAAAAAAAAAAAAAAAAAAAAAAACAACCTAACCTTTAATAAGAAAACATACAGGTGCATTAACAATATCGTTATTATTGAAGGATTTCAGACAAGCATGTGCTAATTGCGTCAAAAGATCTCAATCAATGCCTAATAATGATAAAGAGGTTGAACATTTAAAATACGTAATCCTTTTGCAACATCAAGAGAAATCAAGATTAAGAATACTATTAAGTATGTAAGTAGGGGCATTGGATCACAGTTTTACAAAGACGGCGCGATGAGATGGAATGCCAGGTTTAGCAACTGTTTGTTAGCAGTTGCACGAAAGTTTTAATAAAGAAAGTTCGACTTCTTTGTTATATGGGTTCCAAACTAGGACTTAAACGATTCCAGAGTACGTTACTCTATAAGCAAATTCCGAACCTTAATAGAAAATCACGGTTTGCAAAATCAAATGTGATTGTGGAAGGAAACGGAAGGAATATCATCGTCATAAGGTAAAACTTCTCCTGACGCGTCCGCGTGCTTTTTGAGTCGACTCACCAGAAGCAAAAATTTGCCATATTAGCCTTACGAGGAGGGAGTGAGATCATGCGAGTCGAAAGTTGAACAGTCAAATTTGTGCAAGTGGCCCGTGCCGATTATTTTTCTCGGCACGCGCGAGGTCACTTTACTCTTTTGACTAAAGTCCAGGTGTCAAATATCTCCAATGATTCGTCATGGGTGCCCTTTTTTTTTCCAAAAAAAAAAAAAAAAAAGATAAGGTGACTTTATGTGTGGTGTAAGGTAGCGCCCTGTTTACTTTCCGGTTGCCGTTTATCAGTAGTAATCACAATCAACTCAACCAGAGGATAATGGAAACTGCAGAATATTTTTTGCCCATTTCACAATGTGATTGGAAGAAGTTTAGGGCTTGGTCATCCGATTGGCTGCTCAGTTCCTCGAAAAATATGACAATATAACTATCCTGGTAAGAATGGGTTGCATTCTTTTGAATTGAAATTCACCTGACGAGCATGCGGATTTGTATCATTTTCACAAGACAATCTCTCCAAATAAACCTGTTGCATGCACCCTATGCATATACCTAACGACACAATTATATCTGCGATACGTCTGACCCCTTTCGAGTAAAAATTCAATCGTTTATTATTATAGAGAGTCGGGGTTAACCATCTCTGAGTTTGAATCTCCTCTCCCTCTTTTTTACTCAACGAAAAAATCACACGCGCACCTCTTATTTCTCACATCTCGCACGCACCGAGATGCTTCCCGCTCTCCACTTTGAACAAGCAGGTTGTCCATCCTTCCGTATATATTTGTTGTGAAAAGGCCCTTGACACACTTGCATCTGATCTTCCCGAAATGTCTAGCGAATTTGATGGTGGCGGTTGTAATTATTTGAAATTTTGCTTTTTCATATTTCATTCTTGATCAGCAACAAGTTAATGTAAAAGCATCCGGATGCACGTAGTTTTTTCATATAACTCAAAGTGACACACAGATTACTACCTCAACGGACAAGCTTACCTGCATTCTTGTGCGCATATACGTAATCCTTTTATCTAACCTGTGGCTGTATCCTCCGAATATTGACCGAAATTCTTGCTTCCTTCCTTACGTGTAACATCCGATTATTGCCATTTTTTTTTTCTTTGGTAAACCTTAAAGTGCCGTACATAGCATCATGGCAACGTCGGAAGGCTCGTCCCAGAATCTGGAGTCCCTAAAAATTTGATTTTTTTTTTATGTAAAAAGGTCCTAAAAGGTTAATATTAAAGTGCCACGATGGTGGAACACTGCCGAATAACACAAACACACCATACTTCTATTTGGCATATAAGGCTTTTATCGCAAACTCGACCAATTCTTTTTTTCTTTTCTTTTAACCTCTGGCCCTTTAATAATCTCCTGGACTTCTTGGCAACCAGAAATTGCACATCTTTTCCCAGGGTTCTTACAACTTTTATCAACAACGATCATTTAATAGACCAAAAAAAAAAAAAAAAACCCCCCACGTAAAAAAAAAAAAAAATAAAATAAAAATAATAAATAAGTAAATAAATATTTGCACTCCCATAAATACTTCACGCTTTACTTTTTGCCTATACATTTTAGCTATTGGTTTTTTCAAAAATTTTTTTTTTTTTTCCTAAAGTGTAATTATTCAAGAGTAAAGGAAAATCAAAGGAAAGAAGATAACCAAGTAAAGTCGCGAACTACTACTTCGCTGGGCGAGAGAACATTCACATCAACTGCAAATCTTGTCGGAGACGGCTCTATTCTTCTATTTCATTTTTTACAGCGTATGCTGTTTTAGCAAAGTCTCCGGAAGCAAAAAAAACTTGTAAAGAATGTCTACGGAATTCATCATCCCTCCGACACCATGTACAAACGAGAAAAACGATATCCTGGAATCTCCGTCTTCTTCCGATATATTTCAGAACCCACCACCACCTCCATATTCAGAGTTGGATGTTGAGGAATTAATCAAGAAGAGCAGGGAGGTACTTACCGGGCACTCTGAATATTTGGCCGGCGGTGGTGAAAAAAAGGAAAAAGAGATGTTCGAGAAGGTAAGGGTCTTTCCTCAATCATCAATTATTTGCCAGAAATTGAATAAAAGTTGTTCACGCACAAGGATGCAAACTAACCGAGATTTTTCTTGCTCTTAAATTCTAGATTACTCAGGTGGAATCCTTATTACAAACTATCTTAAGTGATCAAACCTTTGCCATGCATCATTTGAGATCACAGCTATCAGAGTGAGTGAGCATAATTTTAATTCGCGTTCCTTCACCTCCCAGTTTCCAACTCATCATGTCCATGTCTGCATTTACACTTTACTTAGCATCCAAACTGTTCTCAAAAAGATGCACAAGCAAGAAACAGTGACCAATGAAGAGATACAGAAACTTACCGAAAATCTCGTCACGTCGGACAATGTGAGATTTAAATTCGAAGCGAGCCGCGATGAAACAGAAGTGATGAGCGAAGTTCAGGATGTGAAAGTTGTGGATGGGAAGTCAGTTCGTAATCCCATATATGAGGAATTACACATCAGCAATCCTACACCGGCCTTATCCGCCATTTTAGCGGCACCACCTACCTTATCTGTTTCTCAACGATCCTCCCGAGCGCCTTCGAGTGCATCTTCGAGAGATTCATCACCCCCACCCCCATCTTCCAGGGTTGGGTCACGCGATGCCTCCCCGAGTCGTGAAAAAATCGTGTCGGATGATTTTTCGTCAAGACCTGAAACTGATTCTCCCGAATCATTATCCGTAATTCATTCGACCAAAAATTCCGAGTTTTCAAAAATCGACGAAGGTTCGGATAGCGACGATGATGAGGACAGTGCTAACAACGAGTTTTTAGATAGAATGGTTGGCAGGCTGAAGGACCTGATTAGCGAAGCTGCCGACGCGGTGAAAGAACCAATTGCAGGACGCGAGGATTTGAGTAAACTCTCGATTTTGAACTGCCCTGATTTTGACTTTTCGGACATTGATCGCGACCTCGATGCACTCGAAGAGGACTCGTCATGTGATTTTGAAGAGGCTGAAAGTGAGGGCAAGCAAGAAAAACCGAAGAAAGTACGTGGCAACAGAAGGGGAGAGAAGCCAACCAGCAAAGTGAAGGGCAAAGAAGAATCTTTTGAAGACAACATGGATAAATTTTATCAAAATCTGGATAAGATCAGTCATCTTGTTGATACGATCGCGACAGATGAACAGGTTAATGACGAGGTGCAAGATGAATACCTTCAGTACGAGGATTCTACCGCGGATCTCATAAGAAACCCGAGCGAGAACCTCGCCGACCTCGACGATTTCTCGCAACAATGTCGCCTCCTTACACGCGCCCTCATCCTTCCATTCTTGCATGCCACTCACTCCTTCATGTCCGAATCACTCAAGACCAGCGTACATTCAAGGCAAGCGACGAGCACCACTCGAACCTTCATGAACCTTATGTACTGGACATTTTTGTTTACCCTCGGCTCGTTAGTCTTAGACGCGTGGTTGTGCGAAGTCGCGGGGAGACAGGTGATCAGAGTGGTGGGATCGCTGAAGCCAGGTCGACCGTTTGGAATCATTGCGAACGGATTTAACATGCGTGATGCCGATCAGCAGGATGGTGGTATGGGGATGTTGGAAGACGGTAAAAAAAAAAACGTCAAATTTCGTACGGCCCCTAGATCGAAGGCCGTAACGTGGAACGGTGTGGAAAGTGGAATGAAGGGAGGCGAGGGAGGGTGGTTGAAGGATGATGTGATGGGTTTAAGTAGGAGAGGTGGACGTTTATTGACCGGAGGGGGAAGATGGGGTGGAAGCAAACTGTTTAGAAAAATGTCTGTCGGGAGGTTCGAAGAGGAGGAGTTCAGTGAGGATAGTGATGAGTGGGAGATTGTGGATTTTGATAGTAGCGAGGATGAGGAAAGTGGTGCCGAAGATGATGACATCGAAGATCCCGCCTTTTTGTTAAAACGAAAGATCACCAACGAAAGATTGAGGCGTGCCGGACACGTTATTAAGAGCATCCATGAAGAAACATCTGAAATGAGTGAGGAAAATAATGTTGACAAGAATGACGTGTCCTTTATTGAAAATGACATTAAGACATTTGGTGAGATCACCACCACCAACACCACATCAAAAACATTGACGGAACCAGAGGAATACGACATGGACGAAGATGAATCTGATGTCGACGAATTCTGTGACCTGAATATACCTGGCTCGTTTCCATCGTCAATAGATCTGACGGAGAATGTACGACGCGTTAGAAGTGTTGTGTTACGCCGACCTCGGCGTAATGGACCTTTTGGTGGTAGCGGAGGATTCTGGGTAATGAAAACCCGAAAAATAATAAAGAGGTGTGTAACGGATATGGACGTTTCAGCCGCTGTTAAAAAGAGATCGAGTCTCAGGATAAATCCCGTTACGAGGGAAAAGAGTTCGAAATCGCCGTCCCTTCCTAAACGGATACGGATAAGACGAAACAGTATATAGATTTTGCAATAGGTGGTGTCGTATATTATCATCGTTTGAACATTTTTTTAGATGTCATTTAAGGATTATCCTTCTTGTATATTAGTTTTCTTTTTTTCTTTAAAAAAAAAAATGGACAATTCTTTTTTTTTTCCTTTCCAGTCAGGATTTCTTCATATAGAAAGTTCATTGTACTTTATGGATTTTATTATTTTTTTTTTTTCTTGCGGGCAGATGTTGATCTCCTTCGACCTCTTTCTACACCTTTGTTTCTATCCAACCACGTGTCGACGGTTTTATAAATATATTTGTTAATCATTCATTGTTACATCGCCAAAGTTTAATTCAGAAAAAAAAAAAAAAAAAAAAATCAAAAAAAAAATCAAAAAATACATTTTTTTTTTTTTTTCACTAAATATTTATCGCGGGGGAGTTATTGCTTGAGTTAAATCTTTTTTTTTTTTTTTTCAAGACTCTCCACTGACCTAATGCGTGCGAATTATTGTAACGCGTATTATTATGTAAAGAATAAAAATTCCTTGTAGTACGATTAAAATAGTGACGTCTTAGAAATCATGTAACTGTGTCACACATCCTTCGACCTTAGAATCATTCCTTAACGTGTGACCATGCAGATCGACGGGTTCCCTTGCCAAACAGGTACAAGCAATCAGAAGAGGTCGCTGGAGTTTTTTACAGTATATGCGAGGAAGCAGATACTGTAAAAATATGCGATCCTTTTTTAAGGCCTCGATCGACTCTGTGCACAGGGGAACGAAGATAATCTGTTAAACCTCGATTGACGCTTAAGTAATATATACTACTAAAAATTTTCTAATTGAACCTTTGAACTAATTTCATCATATCCAAAGAATTAAAGATTATGTTTTGATAAATACAGTATTTTGAATTTTTAGATAAACAATATACCAGTATAATGAGCATACCATCAAAATATTTCAAATTGGAATTATATTATATTTTGAAATTTGTACATACAGTAATCCATGAATATGAATTCAATAATATATTTTCATTTGGAAATCTGCTGTAAACATTTTTGTTTTCAAACAAATTACTTTATTCAATAGGATATATTAATTTTCATTTCGAGATATCATTTCCGAAAAGAGGCGATCTTCTTTCGGAATGCTGGTGGCTTTCACTTCGAGATGGGGTTTTGTTTCTTCCATGTTTCACGATACAAGAAATACTTGAACCCCGTTGCCAAGTACTAACTTGGTTGCTCTTCGGATGATTCCTTACACCTTGACATCATTTCAATATATTATTACCCCGAAAAAAAGGTTTTTTTCATTCGCCCGATTTTGATCGTCGGGTCATGACACACGTCACGGGATCATACATGTCTCATATTACCCTCGTGATAAGCTTAAATTATATGAAATTTACCTAAATGTGTATGAGCCTCTCGGTGGTGCTCGCATGGACTTGCATCATTAAAAGCAATTTTAGAAAGAATCTGCACTTCCTATAACTCCCCCTTTTTGCCAAAATGAAAAAAAGATTTTTTTTCTTTTTTTTTTTTTTTTTTTGATTCTTTTTTTTTCTATTCAGCCAACCCATGCGCTTTTTCAAACTGGCGTTCCCGATCGGATTAGTTCTGTTTTTGCAAGATGAAACGTGCGTGCAATACCGAATTATCTATTTGTGGAGGAAATGATTCTTTCTAAATCGTTAAACATTGGCACAAAAGGCAAAGGAGTTTTGTGTAGTTGCATGATCACATTGATATCAAGTGATTTTGGAGATAGGACGAATCTTCTTTGGAGAATTAGGGAGAGAACAAGAATTCCCAATCCTTTTTTTTTTTTTTAAAAAAAAAAAAAAATTATTTTCAGAATTCAAATTATCAATCTAAGAAGCTTGCATATCTAATAGCTGCTGCTGCGATGTTGTGCACCGGGTTCACAGGGCGCAACAAGGTTTGACAAGGTGTACGGTTGTACGCTTGCTCTAACGGCATGCGACCGCCTTTATTTTTGATGGTTCGAAGATGTAATTGAGATAAGGAAGCATTGACATGTGACCAAACGATGGTTTCCATGTTTCAAGATCAGACGGATTAAAAAAAGTTTCTTTGTTAATGCGTGCGGATAATCGATTCCTAGATGTGTGTATGTATTTCTTTGTTTTTTTTTTTTTGTTTAATAAGCATTTTTAAATATTTGTGATAACATTTTATTGTAACAATAATAATAAGTTTTAATGGAACAACAACAATTTTCAATTCGTATATACTTTATATCTATATAAGCAAATCCCAATGATTGTTCCTTAATAGACAATTTCCCAACCATCAATTTAATATATCCATGATAATATTACAAATATTTTATTGTTTGATATTCGTTATCTCTATCACTATCAAATTATATTTTCAAGAAAAATATCATTTATTTATAATTATTATAAACTTATAATTTATATTTGTTTTATATTTACTATATCAATTTAATTATTAAAGTAAAAATTTAATACAATAGATCATATTATATTGAAAAAATTTTTTTAAAGTTTTTTTTTTTTAAAAAAAAATTTTTTTTTGATACAGTATATACAATATACAGTATATTACAATTTTACAATATTTGTTTTTTTTTTTTTCAATTTTTTTTAAAAATATTTTTTTACAATATTTTTTTACAATATTTTTTTTTCAACCTGTTATTAGGTTAACATGATTTGTTTTTATTGTATATTAAAAGAAATAATTACAATTTAAATAACTTTCTTATATCAACTCACTTGTTATTGAAACTTATTTTCTTTAAATGCAATTTAAAAAATAATATTTTGTTTCTTTTGTAATTTAAATTATTATTTAATAAAGTTTTATACTTACAGATTATTATTATAAATCTTATCTATTTTTTAATAACTTTTTCAAGTACATATTACTTTAAAGTATATATTCTCAATTATTTTTTTTAAAAATTTTTTTTCAAGATTTAATATATTGCTATAATCTTGTTTTTTGAGATTTTGCATTTTTATATTTCTATATCTATAATCTTTTTCTAATTATTTGCAATAATACAGTAACTATTTTAGTTTTTTTTTTTTTTCTTAAAGCTTTTTATATTTATTAACAAAGTTTTTTTTATTGCTTTTCTTATAATAAATCATTTCTTTTATATTAAACCTAAAAATGTTTTTGAATAATCTTAACTTTGTTCATATATATAGTAATTATGATTTTATTGTTAAGTTATTTAATAGTTTTTTTTCAAATAGCTTCTTATTTATTTATTGTAATTGTCTTTTTTTTTTATTAAATATCAAATCAGTTTATCACCAAAATTTTTTTTAGATCTTTGTTCTATTAAAGCAAATTATTAAACCTTCAGATAAATATTTAATAGTCATATTTTAAATTTTATATCTTTAACAAATTATTATTAAATATATTTTAAATTTTCTGTTTTTATGTATTAAAGATATAAATAATTTATTATATATTAGATTTATTAGAAAACTTTTGTTCTTATTAATCTTAAAAAATCTATAAAATATATATGGGTAATTATTTTTGAAGATAAACCAAAAATTTTTTGGACCTAAAATTGTAATCCCAAAATTATATTTTAAAAATATAATTTAAAATTATAAAATTTTATATTTATTAATTTTATTAATTATAAAATTTT